CCCAGATTAGGTCGACCCAAAGTTTAAGAACCTGCACTACAGAGCCCGGTGTGGTATCTGGCAAGGCCTAAAGAAACATATTTAATCATCAAGACCAGCTGGGAGGGAGTTAGATGTCTCTCAACCAATACAATCTGTCCTCAGGAATGGAGGCTACTTAGGAAACAAACACGAAACTCACTCTCAGGTCAGAAATACAGACTTTGGAGTTAGGCCCACGCTTGCATCTGAGCTCCTAATTTAGGTTCCTGCACACACTACCTAAGTTACTCAACCTCTCTGTTCCCTCAGTCAAGCGACTGGGAAGCATCCACAGGGAACTGTAAAATTAGGCACTCTCTGTGACCCATTTACCTCCGTGTCCATCATGCAGTGCGCGAGTGAGGAAAAACGCCAACATTTTCGTTATTTACCCAGCAGGTTCAGCAATATGAATGGGGTTCGCCCTGCAACCAGAAGCTCCTGAAAGTCCAACTGTGTTCTTATGGAGACGTCTGGGGCCCAGAGACTGAATATGGTCAAAACCCTCAAACTCATTGCCATCAACTCATAGTGACCTTGTGAGACAGGGTAGAACTGCCCCTGTGAGATTCCCAAGACTGTAACTCTTTAAGGGAGTCGGAAGTCCATTTTGATTCAGAGAAGTGCTGGGTAGATTCGAACTGGACCTTGCAGTTTGCAGCCAAACGGGCAACCACTACGCCACTAGGCACTGTTTGACGTAGAGTAGGGGGAGAGGTCACTTGATCCCACTTTCCTTACTCTTGCCATTTGAAGCCCCCGCCAGCATCCTGTAACCCCAAGTGGCACAAGGGCTAAAGGACTCCACTGCTAACTGAAACCCACCAGGTGCTCCCTGGCAGGCAGATGGGACCGTCTGCTCCCACAAAGATTTCTATACCCCCTTGGGCCCCTGAGGGGGCAGTGCCACTCTGTCCTTAAGGGCTGCTGTGAGTCGGAATCAACTCAGCAGCAATGGTCCAGGCTCCAACAGGGCTGCGGGGAAACCACGCCCAGAGCACGGTACCCACAATCCTCTGTGGGTCGCGACCCCTTTGGAGGTCGAACAATCCTTTCTCAGGGGTCGCCCAATTCCTAACAGTAGCAAAATGAAGTAGCAATGAAAATATCATTATGGTTGGGGGTCACCACGGGTCGTGGCATTAGGAAGGTGGAGAACCAGCTCTGAAGGCTCATCCATGGGTAGCTCTTCCTTAGAACGTGTTGGGAGTTCTCTCCCTGTAGCCTCTAGCTCAGTGGCGCCTAATGGCAACAACCTTGTCTTTCCCTGGAAGATTCATGAGGAAACACAGGGCAGCCATCCTTCGACCTCAGGATGGCTTTCGGCCTGTGCTTCTCTCTTCTCTAGGATATTCTGTGAAGACTTTCCTTGCCTGCAATGGTTTACAATCCCATCATCACACCTCTCCCAGTTTCTAGTCCTTCAGAGACTAAGCTTCTATAACGGAACCCTAACTTTAGACCACCTTTCAACTGGGGTAGGGAGGGGGGCTGGGGAAAGAGGAGCCATGTGTCTGCAGAAGCGAAGGAAACGGTTAGCAATACGTCCCTGCTCTGTGACACTCCGATCCCCAAGCTACCCAAACATGAGTCTTAGCTGTTTCTAGTTCTGACCCACCTGTGGGAAATTCAGGCTGTACTTTTCACCACTGCCAAGTTTCAGGAAGAGAGGGTTTTAAAGACTACTGTCAAGATAACACTTTGATGTTGCTTGTACAATTAGAATGTGCTAAGAATTATTTATAGCCCCGATGAAAACCCACTCTTATCAAGCATGAAATATCAGCATAAAAGCACATCGAATGAGATTTGGGGGATCTATTTAAAATATCATGAGTGGAGCCACAAGAACCGAGATTTTGCAGGCAGTTATTGCAAAACGATTCACCTTTTGTCAGATGTGGAAGGCTTGGTGTCAAAGCCTTGCCTGGGACTTTCCCTCTAAGCATCCACTGACTATTTTAGAGCAACAGAAATCTAACAGGATGCCGAGTAGAAACGCTGGGTTTGTCTTCAGTGGTGTACTAGGGACAAGGCTGTGGGACGACAGCACATGGGCCCCTCGGGGTTTCTGCCTCTCCTTTCTGCACCTAGGGAGGCTCAGCACAGCGCACGTGTACTACGACGTCCTTGCCTGCACCCCAGTGCCTAAAGACGACGGGGCACCAGCTTGTTGAAGGAAGACTGATCTCAGTGATTAATTGGAAACTTAAAGTTGTTTATAAACCAAACGGCCTTATATAGTGAATTATTATTTTCATTTATCAATGTATTTCACGCCAAGAAACTTGGCGATGTCATATTGAGAATCCAAAGGGCAAAACCCTAACTTAGGTTCATCTTCCACTTCTTCTGTGGCCCCACACGTGACTCCTGCCAGCACTAGAACACTGGCTTATAATTAACAGCTACTGTCTCAGCACTGTGCTGCTGAACGTTCCCAAGTCAACCGACGACCCAAGGAAGTCGCAGAATTAACTTCATTTTCCACGTGGGGGAAGTGAAGCTTTAAAAAAAACCCACTGCCATGGGTGGGGCTGGAATCAACTTGACATTGAGGTCACTTGCGATGACCCTACAGGACAGGGTAGAACCACTCCTTTAGGGTTTCTCAGAATGCTTCATCTTTCTCCCAAGCAGCAGCTGGTGAGCTTGAATTGTGACGTTGCAACCTGAGGCTTAAGCACTGAGCCTTGAGGGTTCCTTTAGTGAGATTTGGGGATAAAGAAACTTACTTAAAGCTGCATGCTCTGTGAGGGGCCCCGATCTTGACCTCATCCCGGGTCTGATCTAAGTAGTTACATTCACTCAAGCTAATCTCAACCAGCACCCCAAAATGACCCGGGGTGGAAGGAAGCCCTAAGTAGCATGGAACGCAAATGACATATGGACATATCCTTATTTTCAAAACTTGTAAATATGCTGGGCTTGGAAAGTGATTTATATCCTGGGGGTGCAAAAATTCAATGAGTGTTATCACTTCTGGAAATTTAACTTAAGGAAAGACAGAAAACGCCACATGCCCAAAAGATGCTCACTGCAAGGTGCATTAAAATAAGGATCAATGGAAACACTTAAAGCTTCCTAATTAAGTAACACCCACAACACACTCAATAGAAATGAAATCCGTAAGTCTTCAGCACTATGCAAAAGTCTGTTCTCTTTACTAATGAGCAGATAACGGTATAGACCCTGAGCAGGAAATCAACCGAGGCCAGGATATGACTCAGTAATACAGGTGAATGATTGTCTGTGCATGTAAATTTGAAAACGGGGCGGCTCACACTTCCTTGAGCCCAGAGCACCCACTCCGTATTTCCATATTGTTCACAAAGGCCAAGCAGAAATTGCATCCATATTAACACAAAAAGGAAAAAAAAATCGTTAGCATCCCTGTATGAAAACAAAACATTTTGAACGGCCTAAAAATAACATCAGGGTCCACCTCCCTCAACCTGGTCTAGGGGCAAGTTCCGGATGGCATGGAAACCCCCATTGGTCACTAACCAGGCCGGTCAAGTTAAAAATCGAGGACCCGTGTCAGATTCTGCATCGGAGACGGCTGGGTGTGGGGCTGGCTTTCTGAGCGCATCGACAGCAGGTGCCAGAACTGGGGCTCAGTCCACCACCGCGCCCGGGCTCCCTCCGGGCCGGCCCGCTGACCCCGCCGGACGCGGAGGAAGGGGGAGGGACGCAGGGGGCGGGCTGCGGGTGCTAGACTGC